CGGCCCTGCCCGGATGCTGTCCCGTCGCGGGGAGTGTGTGCTGGGTGGAGGGGCGCCCTGGGCCCTGGCACCGCCGTGAGGCACGCGCTGCGTCTCTCCCGTGCGCCCGCGCCCTGCGGGGCGGCCTTCGTCCCTGCCCGGGCCTGTAGGTGCTGGTGTTCCTGTCCGTGCTGCTGTTTCATACTTGAGGAGAAATTATCCTTGGTGTGTTCGCTTTATTTATGATGAATCATACAAGGACAATTTCTTTTTGAGTATCAAATCCTGCCTCGGCGGACTTCCCCGACGGTGACCAGAGTGTGGAGAGAGGCTGGCGGCAGCCCTGCCGGCCTTGGGGGTTGGCGCGGGTACCGGCGGCTTGCGGGGCGTCTGTGCTCTAACCCGCTCCCCCCGGCGAGCCAGCCTGGGAGAGCCCGGCACCGCACTGGGCGCCGCGGTCCCGGCTGCGTGGCGGGTGATCCGGCATTCGAGGCTCCTCAAACCTTGGACGTGAAGCTAACCTGCGGGCTGGATCCCTGATGCCAGGCCCTGCCCCTGCCCCACCTAAGGATGTGACTGACCCCCCCCCCCCCCCAAGCATGTGCCTACCTCAGCGTGGAGCTGTCCCACCCACCCTACTGTCTGGACCACCTGAGAACTTTCTGGAAGGATCAGCGACTTTGGAGAAGATGCCAGACTCCGCTGGATAGACAGTTCTTTGGTGCTTAAAGAATGGCTGTCCGTAGTATGGTCTCTATATTCATGGTGATTAATATCGGACAACCATTGTTTGAGCATCCAAATTGGCTTCAGAAGCGTTCTCCACGTCGCCACTTTCCGCCAGAGGATGCGGCCGGCCGCAGCGTGGCTTTGTAGAGGACCCATAACCGCTAGATCAGTGAGCCAGAATCCAGCCACCCAGGCCTCTTCCTCGAACTCATACCAGCTTTGGGGTGGAGCTGCGAGCTGGGAGTTCGGGGCTGCCTGGAAGGTGCTGGTAATCACTGCCCTGTCTTTCCTTCCCTGTGACCCATCTCAGCCCCCTGGGACCCTGGCAGCATGCGAGTCAGGCATTTCTCTAGGCAGCTAGCTGCTGGCCGGCCCGGCCCCTCCCTCCGCCTTGGTGTGTGCCGAGCGTGGAAGACTTCCCGGAGGAGGTGCCGGCCTCCAGGACACAGCTTCTCCACCCGCGGCGAGCGGCTGCCGTGGCATGTCCCGTGCGCTCTGACGTGGACCCGTCTCCCCAGCACACGCTCCAGGAGGCGGCCCGCGGCCCCGGTGCCTCCAGGAGGTGTGAGAGGCAGAGACAGCGTGTGGGCAGGAGCAGTGTCTCAGACTTTCGAATGCTTCTAAGATTTTCATCACCTAGGGATCTTGTTAAAAGGCAGATTCTGATTCAGGGAGCAAGATTCTGCATTTTTAGCAAGTTCCCAAGTGATGCTAACGCTGCTGTCGGTGGACGACCTGGACGCGTTCGGCCTGCAGATGGAGAGCGTTCGCTGCCGCTCTGCGCCCGCCCCCTCCCAGGGTGACGGCCGGGCGGGCTTTGCTCTGGGGATGGAGCGTCTGCGCGGCCCCTGGCGCATGCCGCCTGGAGGCCGCTCTCCGTGGGGTGGCGTACGCCCCGCGGGCTTCTCGGACTCCAGCCCCGGTGCCGCCCCGCTGGTGGCTGCCCCTGCAGCGTGAGCCCCTGCCGGGCCGGCGGGCCGCTCAGCGGGCGACCACGCCTCTGTCCCCGCTCCCCGTCCGCGTGGGTGCAGGGGCTCCTGGCGCGGCCTGCTGGTGGTTGCGGCCGCGTCTGGGCCGTCACGTGCTGCCTGTCGCGTGGCTGTGCGCACCGCGCTCTGGGTTCGCTTGTCGCCTGCCTCGAGGAACCCGGGACTGGCCTGTCTCGGGAGTCTTCCCGGCTTGGTGCTCACCGAGGGTCTGGACGCCGGGTGACAGTCGATGGCGACGCTGCTTCCTTCACAGGACGCGAGCACCCGGCAGAGCCTTGGACCTGGTGTGTCCTCGGGAGGAACTTCCAGAGGCCAGGCCTGGCCAGAAGAGGCCTGGCACGCGTGAGAGCACAGCCGTCCCAGGTGGGTCACCTGTGTCCCCGTGGTCACTCCTGGCAAGCGCGCGCCGTCAGCCTTTCCCGGGGCTCGTGCGCTCACGGTGTGCGCCTGCGTGCAGGTGTGGGTTGGCCCCGTCCTAGGGTGCGGCCCGGGGAGGAGGCGCCGGGGAGAGCCGGGCCCGTGGTGTTTCTGCAGTGAGATAAGTGTGTTTGCACGTTCTGTGCCCACTCACCTGCTCCCCTCAGTGCCCACCACCTTGCAGTGGGGGCGGGATGCAGGGCCTCTGTCTGGTGACCCGGGCCATCAGGGGAGGCCCGGCCAGTGAGCCCGCCTGGGCTGGGCCACCCCCCACTGAGCTCCCCGCCCAGACCCTTGGAGGCGGCCCTGGAGGCTATGGCCCCTGCGGCCCCCCCCCTCCTGAAGCTCCCTCTGGGGGTCTGTTTCCAAGTCGCACCCGTGGGGGTGCAGGCCCTGCCCCAGGCGTGTGCGTGAGTGGCCGCCGATGCTGCCCGCCACCGACTCAATCCCCCTCACTGCAGGGGCGAGTCCGTGAGGCCGCCTCCGAGCCGGCGGTCTGGTCAGTGTCCGTCCTGAGAAGACGGGTCGGGCCTCCTTCCCTCCTCCCCTCCCGCCAGGACCCCGGCTCTGCTCTCCACTCTGCCTGGGGGCGCAGGCTGGAGCGCCGGCTTCAGGCCCCCACCCAACCTTGAAAGCTGACCGGGGCCCGCCGAGCACCAGGGGCCCGCGCAGGTGGGTCCTGCCGGGGCGCAGTGCCCGCGGTGCCCGTGGGGCTCGCTGTGCTGGCTCCTGGCCTCCCAGCCCAGACCTCTGGCCCCAGAGGGGCGCAGGCACTGCTGCTGGCGTCCTTGTGGATGGCAGCGCGAGGGACTACACGCTTGGCGGCCGGACCTGGCCCAGGCCCCAGGGCGTGGTGAGGGCCCCCTTTGGGGAGGGGTCGTGCCAGCGCCACACTGAGTGGGGGTGGGCAGGCGCGTGAGTGCTGGCGGGTCCCGGCCCAGAGCTCCTCAGCGCAGCTGAGTCGAGGCCCCTCCCTCGGGCCGGGACAGCCAGGCCTGGGACGCCGTGCTCACGTGGTCTTCAGCTCTCGGCCCATCCGCGGGGACCCCCAGGAACACAGCTCTCTTCCTGCGAGAAAGCAGTTCCGTGGACGCCAGTCCAGGTCGGGAGGGCCGAGGTGGCCCCAGGCCTCACGTCCTGCTGCCCGAGGCGGCACACCCAAGCAGGGACCAGCCAGGGCGGTCACTCGCAGCATTCTTCCTGGAGATCATTCACCTGCTGGTGGGCTGTCACAGAGCCTGGGCCCGTGGGGTAAAGCCACGTGGTTCCCACAGGGCAGCAGCGTGGCCGTGGCCACAGACTCTGGTCCTGCTGGGTGCTGGGCGGCGCTGGGGCTGCCCCGTGCTGTGGCCAGCCCCTCCCAGGACAAGGCCCCCTGGATGTGTGCCCTGTGGTGCCTGATGGGGGTGGGGCCGTCCTTGCTGGGGACCGACGGTCCAGCAGAGGACACACTGTGACCCTTGTCTGCCGACTCCCTACACCCCCGGACCCAGTGCCCGGACCCAGTGCTTCCTGGGACAGACTGGGGAGGGGCATGCGCCCCCCGGCCCTGTGGATGAGCCTCCTTGTCGAGTGTCTGGCTTGGCTCTCTCTGTCTTGAGCCACGGGGGAGGCTGGTGCTTTAAGTATTAGTTTTGCTGGGTGCTCCCTGGGAAGGGCTGGAGGTCTGGGGCAGGGTGCATGGTCAGCCAGAGAGCTGGGACTTGCGGACAGTGGGCAATGTTCCACCCTCCTAGCCCCGCCCACATGTCCTTAAGGGCCGGCTGAGGTGAGGCTGGAGGCGGGGGCAACGCCTCGTGGTAACAGCGTCGGTACTGAGGAGTGTTACCCCTGCCGGGTTCGCTGTGTCTGTAATGAGTCATGCAGGCACATCCAGTTTTTCAGTATCAAATACTGCTTTGGAGGGCTTCCTGGCCAGCACCCCGGGAGGAGGGCCTGGCTTAGCCCCGGCCGCACAGGTGTGCACACGGGGTGTCCCAGCACCCACCCTTCTTCCCCGTGTTGCTGGCCGCCCCAGGACAGGTCCGCTCTGGGTAGAAGGCGCACCCAGGGGCCCTGAGCTTCTGGAAAGGGTGTTGGGCATCTCAGACGATGACCACTGAGACTCCCAGTTGCCCCACCTGTCGCAGGTGATGCACCCTTTCCTGAGGACACCCTGGCAAACCCGCCAGCGTGGGGGTGAGGTGGGGCCGACTCCCAGCCCCTGCCTCATGGCATCTGCTTTTCCAGGGTCAGGCCTTTCCGGAGGGCTTCCTGGGGGCATCTGCCTTTCCAGGGTCAGGCCTTTCCGGAGGGCTTCCTGGGGGTAGTGCCGCTCATGGGCGAGGGGTGCGGCCTCTTCTGGTGAACCTGGCCCGCCGGAGGCGGGTGGCCTCGCTGCTGCGCCCAGGCACTTTCTCAGTCGGGCTTTGGGTGACCAGACGCGCTTGTCTTTGGCGGAACCACTGAACTCGTCGGTCAGCCAGGAGTGGGTGAATCACTCCAGTGAGTGAGCGTCGGCTGTGTTCCGGATGATTCGAGACCTCGACTGTTTCCTCTGCGCCGGGGTTGGAGTAGCAGATAAGACCCCGCTCAGGTGGGCTTCCGGCTGGCGGGGGACATGGGCGGTGATCTGCAGACAGAGAAGCGTCGCTTTACGCGCCGTGCCGTCTTGCGGAGGCTAGGAGAGCAGAGTGCGATGCCAGAAGGGGCATTTCTGCCAGAGACGGGGGCCCGGAAGGGAAGCAGGGACCGAGTGTGGTAGACCAGATGGCGCTCGGGCGAGGCGGGTCTTGGAGGAGGCTGTGGCGGCTGAGAGCGGAGGAGGTCAGGGGCCCCGCAGGGCCTGCATGGCCGCGGAGCTGGATGGAAGAGGCAGCTGCAGGTGCTTGGCACATTTGGGTTTCACTGGGACCCCTCAGCCCTGCTCTGTGTGGTCAGTTTTGCAACCGTGGCGCTGGGGGTGGCGATGGCGAGCCCTCCATGTGTCCTCCTTGGGGACCTGGGCTGACAGAGCATGGGAGGGCTCGGGGTGGAGCTGCAGATCTGTGGCGAGCCCGGCCAGGGCTAGAAGCGAGAAGAGGGGACCGGCTAAGGGGTGGGCTAGATTCAGAGTTCTGGGACAACTCTGTGGGCAGCCAGGGAGCTTTGGGAAAAGACGCCCTGACCGGCTTTGCCAAGATCCATGCCGAGGTAATGAGCTCAGGTTGGACCAGGGAGGTACAGGGTAGCGGCGGCAGGAGACGAGGGAGCTGGGGACCCGTTCAGGGTGCTGGCGAGTTGACGTGGGGTCACTGCCGTGAAGTTGCACGGGACGTGCTGGGGCAGGAAGATCCCGTCGGGGCCCGGACGCCACTACCTTGGTTGTGGGCAGCCAGGGCCAGTGACCGCTCTGGATCGAGCTGGCGCGTTGAGAGTGGCCTGGAAATGGAGCTGCCGAGCAAGGCGGGCCTGCGCCTGCGCCAGCCTCTGCCCTGGGAGACGCGAGGACGGGGAGCCTCCCAGGTGGAAGGGCGGCGCCTGGGGAAGAATGAGGCCCGAGGCTCGGCTGGTGGCGGCTGCGGTGGGGCTGGCAGAGTGGTGCGGCCATGGGACAGGGCCGCTGGTGAGGGTGATGGGGATTGGGATCTTGGAGGGCTGATTCAGGATGGGACCCGGTCCTGCTGGCCCCGTTGACTAGGGAAGGTTTGAGGAGTGGCCCCTCCTAGGTCCCCTAATTCTCACTCCTGACCCTGGTTGGGCTTCTTGGCATTGTCCCTGGGTGGCTCATTGGGGTGGCAATGTGGAGGGGAGCAGAGTCGGGGCTCCTGGGAGGCAGAGCTTGGGCGTCCCGCAGCTCCTGCCAGGGGCATCCGGGGCGGAAGCGCACTCTGGGGTGGCCGTGGGGCTCTCCTCAGTTTGATGACCCTGGACCTCCTGAAGGAGGTTGGCTACAGGCCCCGGGCCCCATGCCCTGTGTCGGGCTCACGGCGTGACGCCGAGGAGCAGACGCTGGGCCGACGGGCGCCGGATCCCTGCCGGGCCTGGGTCTGCACCACACCAGGGTGGCGGGTGGCCCCGCAGGCCAGCGTGTGCTCCAGCACCATCCACCATCTCTCTGATGCGGTGTCCGATCTGCCCGCAGGATGGTGGTCGCGGCGCCTCCCGGAGAAATGGAAGGGGACCCCTGTCTGTCTTGTCTCTGCCTTTCTGTGGTACTTGAGGAGAAGTTGTTCGTGGTGGATTCGCTTTACTCATGACGAATCATTCACGGACAACACTTTTTTCAGTACCAACTGCTGCCTCCGAGGACGTCCGGACACTGTGGCTGCCTTGGGAACGTCGTGCCGGCCCTGAGGAGACCCGGGGAGGAAGGGCTTGTCGGCCAGGACGCCGTGCGCACCCCGCTGTAAGTTGCTGACACGCTAGCCTAGCCAGCCCCCTGCAGGAGGCCTCCCCCAGACCCGCCCCCGGGGGGGTGGCTGGTTCCATCACCAGTGTCACTCACGAGACATGAAGGGGCCCTGGGCCCACAAACAACTTCCGGAAGAACCACTGGTGCCCTTACTGTCCGGGACGTGTGACCGGTTGACCAGAGGGTGAGCACTGTGGTCAGCCCGTGGGCCACCTAGCACCCACCCTCAGCACCCACCCTGCCCACCCAGGGAGACTTCGAGGAGGTCCCGCCAACTTTGGGCCAGCAGCAGCAGACTTCTGCAGCGCCCGCTCGGGGGACCTGACAACCGTGATGAGGGAGGTGTGTCTCCTGGCCGTGTGGTGGGCCACCCTGGGTGGCTCCTTCCGCACTACCTCTTTGGAATGCTCCTGGCACCTGCCACTGCCTTCTGAGGGGGAGCCAGAGTGGCCCACCTCTCCCCAGGGCGTGGGATGGTTTGCCGAGCTTGCCCTTCATTTGCTAGGGGTCAGCTGGCCCCCTAACCCCCAGCATCCTTGTCTCCACAGGAGACCCCGCTTTGGGAAGCGGCCCTGGTTCTGCCCCCTGCACCTGTCAGCAGCCGCAAGGCTTCCAGGGACGGAGGACTGGCTGCACCCATGCCATCCCACGCCGAGGGTAAGTGCGTCTCGGGTGAGCATGTGGTCTCTCTGGGAGCATGTCACTCGGCCCACTACCCAACGTTATCCCACCCATTTCTTCCAGGGCTCCGGCGAGGGGCTGCCGCCTCTGCAGGGGAGGCACGGACTGCCCGCCTGAGTTCGCTTATGGTGCTTGGAGAGAGGCTGGCCGTGATGAATTCGATTCATCAAAGCGAGTCATACACGGCTCTCCTCTCTTTTAGTGTCAAATTCTGCCTCGGAGGGTTTCCTGGGCCTGGGCTGTTTCTGAGGTAGGTGCCCGGATGGCTGAGCCCACAGCAAGCGCTTTCTTGGAGAAGCATGTCACTGGCCCTCACCTAGCATCCACCTGGCCCTGAGTCCACTTTCCGGCCACTGGCCATTTGGGGATGAGCTAGAGAGGCTGTGAGGGGCCCTGCTTTTGAAACGACTAACACTGAAATCCAGACTTGGAGGTCGGCCAGACTAGCCAGCTGCCGGAGCCCAGGGGAGAGCAGGAAGCGGGCGCTGGCCGCTGGCTCCTGGCCCGCGGCTGCCGCACCTGTCCAGGAGCTTCTCCGTAGTGGCCCCCTGTGCGTCTGCTCTCCGCACGGTTCTGCCCGGGCGCCATGCTTCACGACTACCTCGCAGCTACTTCTTCGCACTACCGCCCTGCATGGCCAGCCTGGCACGGGCGTCCCTGTGCTCCCTAACCTGGGTTGGAGAACCAGGGGGTGGCAGGGCACATGCACTCGGTGTGGGCCTTGGCCAGCTGGCCCAGTCCTCCTCAGTGTCCCGTCCACCCTCAGAGGCCACCCCCAGGCTGCCCAGACTGCGTAGCCGCGTGGACGCAGGAAGCTGAGAGCGGCGCCGCCTCGCGGTACGCGGAGGGAGGTTGTCCGTGGTGAGTTCGCATTATTCAGTGATGCCCAATACACGGTCGATCTCTTTTCGGTATCACATCTCGCCAGGCATCTTCCTGCAGCTGATGGTATTTGGGGGGTCCCAGCCCGCATACACCAGGGTGCAGGTGGCCTTTCACTGAAGGGCAGGTGCCCGACCCCTGGCCTCGCGCAGCCTGTTTGTGACAGGCAGTGGCAGTGGTCTGGACTCAGGACCCTGCCTGACTGGAGAAAGGGAACGATACGGAGCTCTGCTTTTTTGTTTTGTAAGAAGAACACAGCTCGTAAATTGTAAATTGTAGAGGGAGGACTTCTTAGGCTCATCGGCCCGGTCGGGAAAGAGGACCAGCACCCTGTGGGTTAGGGGGCTGGGGGCTCACCGCATCTGTGGACAGGGAACCCACACTCTGCACTGAGTGTGTGAGCCAGGGGCAGTTCTTCTTCAGTGTCCTGTTGGGAGAAAAGTCCCAGCTTTCTGTGTTTCCAGAAATAATCATCAAGGGCTATAGAAATGTCCAATTCCTGTCTGATCATCCAGGCCGAGAGGAAAGTCTCTAGACAAAGAGAAACATGTTGTTAGTGATGAGATCACAGCGCGCCTAACTTTTTATTAACAATATATATTATTTAATATTAAACATTTATCGTTAAATATTATTATAACTTATTAGCAATATTTTACAAATTTGAGCTCAAGCTGCGCCTAATATTTTATTAAAAATGTTGACTATAGGCCCTCCCTGGTGGCGCAGCAGGTTAAAGCACAGCACAAAGAAGCTTAAGCCACTTCCGCATAAGTTCGATCCCCGCTTGCCCCGGAGGAGATCCACATGCCAAGGCAGACCTCTCCTGACCTGCCCGCTGCTCCCCTCAGCAGTGTACTTCCTCGATCTGCCTGTTCTGTACCCCGCTCTGTCTCTGGTGAATCCTCTCACCCTCCGAATCTCTGGTCTGTACCCCAGTTCTGTACGAATACATAAATAAATCTTTAAAAAAAAAATGTTGACTATAACTTTGAGCTTATCTAAAGATTGGAAGAACAGTAGGTATTTCTTGCCCTACCAAGAGAGATTAATTTCTAAAAGATCACTATTAAATTAAGAACACCACTTAATGGTTGGGATCTTTATATTTTTTAAATTGTTCCTATTTAAAATCTAATTCTGAAATGTAAAGGAAATCAACACGCTCACACTTCACCCCACCGCCTACTTTTAGGTCTGATAACATCGTTTCAGATTTTCATTAGAAATATTTATATTTTGTTCTAAAACCACAGTTCTTAACAGCGATTGAGTCATCGTCCTATACTTAAATGATTCACTTGTTGCTATCCTTTTTTCCCTTAAACTAGTCTCCTCTGTTCGTGAATCTGAATCTTGATGGACTGAATTGTGTCGTCATTTATTTCGAAACAGCTTGCAGACTTTCCCCAGTCCTCGCACGCTCGAGCACAGCTAGCTCTTGCTTCAACACACAAGGGGCAAGTCAGCTAGGTAGGGACCCCGCCTGCTCCCCCACACTGGAACTCTGCCCAGGGCCTCACTAGCCTGCCTGCGAGACCACTGCGTGTCACTCTCCCGTTGGACTTTGTTCCTCACCGGGTCTTCGCACACTTTGCTGGGGAGACTCTGGGGCGTTCGATCCCGCGTCGCCGGGAGTGTGTGACCATTGTTCTTCGTTCGGCTAGAACCCTGCGGTTTCTGATTCCTTTCAACTTCTTTCCTTACTCCCTTTAAAAATGCGTGTGTAGGCCCTCCCTGGTAGCACAGCGGGCTGACGCACAGCACTGTGAAGCCGGCCGCAGCCCCGCAGCGTGAGTCTGACACCCGGCAGGGCGTGACCCACAGGGCGGCAGCCCTCTCCCGGCCGCCCGCTGCCCCCTCGGCAGTGTGCTTCATCCACGGCCTGTCCTGCTCCCCGCTCTGCCTCTGGTGAGGCCTCTCACCACCCTGCACCTCTGGCCTGTACCCCGGTTCTGTTTACATAAATAAATCAATCTTTAAAAAATAAAATAAAAACGCTTATTGTGTAATTTCTCCCAAATTTGAGGTTCGAGTCCTGCTCTTTGTGGAGCTTGTTGATCCGTGGTGACATTTTTCCTCCTGGATTTCGTAACTTTTCGTGGCGAAATAATCCTCCTGGGGCGTGAGGAGTTTCTGTTTCGTTACCTGCGTAAGAGCGTCCCTGTGTGGTTCCAGTGTTCCCGCTACTTTCACTTGCCTGCCCGACTGCCGGCTCCGGGGGCCCGTGTGGCAGCCGGCGGAAGCCCCCACGCGGCCCCGTTCTCCCCAAAGCCTCGGCAGAACAGCCCCGTTGTCCTTGCGCTGGGCCAGCGGAGCTTCCTGGTCCCCCCGCTCCCTGCTGCCGCAGCTGCTGCTCTGGGCCTCGTGGCCACCAGGCTCAGTGCTCTGGCCAGTGCGCTCGCCGGGTGCTCCGAGCTAAATTCCCTCTTCCCGGCCTGAGGGCGGGCTGGCTGCTTCCTCCGACCTCTGCATCCCTTTGAAGCTGTGGCTGTGCGCACCTCGCCTGGCGTGCCCTGTGTCGGAGCAGGGCTCCCGTGGCGCCTCTGGGCCTGGGCCCTCGCCGTCTCGGTCAGTCTCTGAATCGTTACGCCTTCTCGGTTGGTAAGGCCAGCTGTCCCCCCATGGACAGGGTGCCTTCCCCTGGGTGCTTTCCTGTTCTTTGTGCTGCTCTTTTCTGAGGCTAAGCGGTTATTTATTGTGTACGCCACTGTCTCCTGGAGAAGGAAAAATGAGATGTGGCCATCGCCTGGCATCATTTTCTGAAAGCCTGTTGTCATCTGCCCCGAGTCCTTCTCTACCCAAAGGGAGCCCTACCCCGATGCCCCTCCTCAGCGTCTCCTTCCGTCCTGACAGGCCGCCTCGTCAGGCCAGCTCCGGGGCCATGTGGCGTGCACACTGTTGGCCAGGTATGCAGATGCACTTCTAACAATGGGGGTTTATTTTTTGCTCATGTATCGGTGGGGCCATTAACCTTAAATATGAATTTTTTCCTTAGGGAGACTTCTGGGAGTTATATCCACCTCTGGTGCTGAGGCCACCTTCTGAGGTCAGTGCCACCCCACAGGTTAATAAGATTTGACTCGCCCCTTCCCTATCATCGTCCTTCCTCACGCTTTGCAAAGTCGGCAGCTTGGGAGTGAAGTCCAGCTTCGCAGGGCTTCCTGGACACAGGCCGGTGAGGAAGGGGTCACAGCCGCCAGCCTTGATACTAATGTGACGTGAGCCACAGCCCCACAGGGGCCCAAACTGGGACGCCGCACATTCGAGCTCTCCAAGCTCCGTCCCTCCTGGGAGTCATTCCTGGTTAACAGGACAGGTGTAGCGCAGGTGTGGGCACCTGGGCTACTTCGGGGTGAGGGCGGGGTGGCTGAGCCCAGGCCGGCGCCTTCACCCCTGACCCTCTGGCAGCCTGTCTGCGAGCGCTCAGCGTTCTCTCCTCCCGAGGAGGACGTCCCGGAGGGGGCGGCTTCGGAGAAGGGGCATCGGCACCTGGCCAGTGCTGCTTGGCGGTGCTTGACGATAGGTTATCCGTGTTGCCTTCGCTTCGTTTGTGACGAATCATACACGGTTCACCTATTTTTCAGCGCCACATCCCGCCCGGGGGCTTGCAGGTGGGAACTGGTCACCGACCCCCTGCAGGGTTAGCGAGAGACTTCACCGCGGCTGGCCGCAACGCATGCCCTCCCGATGCCATGTGCCTGTCCCCCTCCGTGTGCCACCCGTCCTTGGGAAGCTCTGAGAAGCTGGGGCAAGAAGTGAGGCTTTTCTTACCACGCGGCGGTACTTGAAGAGAGGTCTTCCATGATGCATTCGCTTTGTTGCTCGACGAATCATACATGGTTGACCTTTTTTTAAGTGTCAAATCTGGCCCTAAAGCACCCCAGGGCAATGCCAGCCTCGGGGGCGGGTGGGTGCCCACAGGCCCGACGGGCGGCCGCGTCAGTGCGTCTCCTCACGGATGTGTCCCTGTGCCGCTGTCCTCTGTGGCCAGCGCGTCCGGGTCTGTGCTGAGTCGCCCCTGCGCCTGCGGAGGCCGCCGCCCCGTGGTAGCGCCCCTGTTTCGTCAGCCCCGCCTGCCACCCCCGCGCCCCGAGTTGCACCGCGGTGCTGCGGCCCC